GGGCTCCAGGTACTCAGCAGAGTACTAGGTACTAGAGTATCTAGTTAGTAAGCCCGATGCCCTGAGTCCAAACCATGACAGAAATAAAACCAAAAATCCTGCCAAAAAAGTAAAAAATAAAGGACCCTGTATCTAAAATCAAACCGAAAGTGTTGGAAAGGAAAATTAATGGCTATTACAATATATGATTAAAGATACAAGAAATGTAAATAAAATCATATTGCAAATAAAGTCTTAGCTTATTCTAAAAATAGCAAACATGTCAATGGATAGAAGGTTCTACGATAAAGCATGTAAGCCTAACATGACCCTAAGTTTGATCTCCAGCACTGCAAACAAAACAAACAAAAAAAAAATTTAAAAACTTACACTTTCACTGAGATTAAATGGAAATTACTTGAATGGATTAAGATTTGACAGAAAAAAAGAAAACTTTAAAAAACAGCTATCACCTCAAAATATATAGAAATAGAATTTCATAAAATGTAATATGTAGTGATCAAAAAGAAAAAAGACAAGAAATGAATTTCTTTATCTTAAATAATCTACCAAAACAGTAAAACCAATACTTGATGGTGAAATACTGTAAGCATTCTCTTTAAAGTCACAAAAAACCCTATTTCCAATGGAAATGTTTGTGAAATTTTATTAGTTGATTTTAAAATTCATAAGAATAACTGGTCAAGATTCTGAAGTAATTCAGAATTTAGTCTTATTAAATATCAAACTTCTTGTAAAGTTATGATGACCAAAGGAGAGTAGGACAGAAACAAAAAAAAATAGCTGGATGTATTTATATATCCATTGAGAGAAGGGTTACTACAAGTCAGCAGGGATGAAGTGGGAAGGATGTTGAGACTGTTTACCCATACATCAAGAGATATATTTAGATTCCAACCTCACACTCTAAGCAAAAATAACTTCCAGGTGGATTAAAAGACTAAAGGATTAAATGAAAACCTTAAAAGCTTTAAGAGAATAAACAAAAATCTATCATGTTCTAAAAAAGCAAAACTCAGATTCTTCAACTTATTAAAATGCCAAAGCCTAGGAGAAAATACCCACAATCTCCAAATAACCAGAAAATACAAGGAGCACTTCCAAATCATGAGGAATCTTGGAAGCATTCCAACACAATCCATGTAACTCAAAAAGAAATCTAACAACAAATGTCAGGAGATGAAATAGTACTCAACCTTAACAGACATCAAGGAAATAATTTTAGGAATAGTGAGGCATTCTTTCAGTCATTCAGTTGAAAAACAAATAAAACATTCCAAGTCTGAGTGCGGATACAGGCACATAAGCACTCTGTCAGAGTGCACATGTAAACTGACAGAACCATTTTGAGAGTAATTTGGCAATGGCAAAGAGTGCCTCCCAATGACCAGCAATTCATTCCTAAGAGTCTATGAAGAGAAACTTGAGAGTCATATGCAAAGAGATCCAAATAAAGACACTTCTTACTCTATGTGTACACGCAAAAAAGAAAGAATTTCTAAGTGGGAAACTGTGATCATTAGGTTTTTTTAAATACAGTGCCTAAATTAACTACAATCAACTCATACTATACTATAAAGAAACAAAATTTTGAAACAGTTCTGAGCAAAAAAGTTAAAAATTGATACCTATAATTTGATAATATCTAAGTTCTTAAACATACTAAATTGCTATAGTATACATGTATTTAATAAAAGGAAACCATGCTTTTGAGCAAAACTTAACTAATGGCAAGGGGGGAATGATATGGTTTCAATGTATCTGTAATGGCTCATTTCAGAGAAAAAGGAAGTTGAAAAGGAATATTAAAACCTGTTTATCTTTGTAGTGGACAGGCATATTTGTTTCAGTAGTTTAATTACATTTGCATGGTTTTATAAGAAATTTGAAGTAAACTTGATATATTCCTACCCTAAAAGCCATTAGCAGATACTTAAAAAAGAGGAAACTATGATCCCTGTTCTACTTCCCACATTTAGCTAATGTTAATGTTTACTGATTTTCTTTAAATATAATGAAACATAGGTAATTTTTTTCTGAGTATTGTGTTAGAATCTTTGACTTTGCTCTTCATATATTACTGGCATATTTCCTTGTCATTATTACAAATACCAAAGATACACATATAGGAGACTTTTTAAAAAATTAACCACTAAGGTTGTCATTTAAACGAAGCACCTTTATCCTACCTGTGAATGCACCTGTTACTAACAGCTTCCCATTAGGTCCAGAAAGTATTATTTTATATTTAGCAGAATGGAGTACCACTGTGGTACCACCAGGTGGCAGAGCTCTCCAACTGTAATCTGTAGCATGAGTTATGTGGCAGATAATAAATTTGATCGCAACATATAAAAAATACCATATTAAATTGCAAATCAACTCTTTTCACACTTAAAATACAGATTACTCAATATACTACAATCGTTAAAACTTAGACCAGGTATTCACATTAAGTATTAAGTATTTTAATGAGCGCATGGATATTTATGCTTGCATAAAACATGGTGTTTTTTTTAATACAAATAAAGGCAAAGAGAAAAAAATAGTTAATTTACAGAATGGAACTTCAAGTATATTTCTGATTCTGAATAGATTAGGTATTTAAAAGAAAAATTATATCCTGCCCATGTAATTGTAACCCCTCTGTACAGTATGTTCACAAAAAAATTTAATTTTAAAAAAAAAGAAAAATTAAAACCTTCCAAATCTATAGTTTACAAAGGAGTGCATGTATTATCTCTCAGGGTAGTACTTGAAAAGCTAAACAGCATGTATTTCAAATGAACAAACACAAATGACAGCACTCACACTGCAGAGCCAGCCAGGATCTACATGTAACTTAGCAACTATCACTACCTTGCAGCATGGGTAAGGGAGATGAGTGAGGACACACACTTCTAGTGATCACTGCACTTACAATCTGCCTACTCCGCTCACCTTCTTGGAGAGTTTACTGCCTCCTCTCTTTCCTGGTCCTGTAGGTGGGTCTTTAAGCCAGAGACTTAAAACCAGAAATGATACAGTGTAGTTACTGACTAATAATTAATTGGCAAATTGAGGGCTTTATTTCACAAAATGTTTTATAAAGTTAGAAATGTTTCTAAATCCTCACATCAGGAACTCCTTAACAGTTGGAAAGAAAAATTCAAAACAAAAACTATTCATATATCACATTTTGATTGGTCTCAAAAACTAAAATTTCTGTGTACATTTTCAACTAACCAAATACTGGAAGACAGCATTTATTTTAGCTCCATTCTTTGGAACCTTGCTCTATCTACATTATAAAAAGTCACAAATATTGGGAAAACGGGCAAGTAGGCAATAACAAAGCCGAAGAATTTTTCAAATGATTTCTACTATACATTCACAACTGCAGTTAGGGGTAGCTTGGTGGAAGAGCACCTGGGTATGAAGTAGAAGACCCTGAGTTCAAATACTAGTACCACCAAAAAGTAAATTACTTAAAAAAAATTTTTTTGCATAAAGTCCAAGCTAATATCTTTACATTTCACCTCCCCACTGAAATGTATTTTCACAATATAAAAAATTTTCAAACCACAGTGCACAGTTAAGTAATACTATACAGGAAAAAGAAGTATCTTTAAAATGGAGTTCAGCCAGGCGTCGGTGGCTCACGCCTATGTAAATCCTAACTACTAAGGAGGCTGAGATCTGAGGATCACGGTTCAAAGCCAGCCCAGGCAGGAAAGTCCATGAGACTCTTATCTCCAATAAGCAACTAGAAAACCAGAAGTGGCACTGTGGCTCAAGCAGTAGAGCGCTGGCCTTGAGCTGAAGAGCACAGGGAAAGCATTCAAGCCCCACAACCAGAAAAAAAAAAAAAGAGTTCAATTTTCTACTAATAGAATTATAGCGAAGTGTACTAGTGCACGCCTACTAGTGAAAGCAGGGGCACCGAGTTCAAAGCCAGTGCAGGTTGCAGAGGAAGACCTCCGCCACCCTGAAATACGTGTGCGCATGTTTATTTACATATGTGCATACAAACATATTTATTTATGTGTGTATATATACATAGGTATGCACAGGACACAGTATACAGATAGCTATACATGTATTTGTATTAAATATATACTGTTCATTTAAATATATAATTTAAATACAAAATATAAATGTTACATATTTTAAGTACCTATAATAACAGAGCAGGGTAATACTCTTTCAATGAAAGAACAAAATTTTTAAAGCAAAACAAAATACAAAAAAAATGACTACAAGTAGTACAGTTTTTAAAATACATCACAAACTGACTCAAAATCAATAGCTGGTTAACAGAAGAGCTAGGATTCAAACTCAGGTTTCCAAGACCTTCCCTAATTTAATTAGTTTTCTTCCAGTACCAAAGTTTGAACTCAGGGTTTCATGATTTCTCAGCTTGTTTTGCTCAGCTGGTACTCCACCACTTGAGCCACACCACATCTATACCTGGCTTCTTATGGGTTAGTTTTGTAAATGGCGTTTTCACAGCCTTTTCTGCCCAGGCTGGCTTTGAAATGCAATGCATTGGCTCTAAGCCTCCTGAGTAGCAAGGATTACAGGGTGAGGCACCTTCTCTTACCTTTTATTTTTACTGTAAATTGTTTTTAATATGACTCTTCATTTCAATTATAAAGAATTTTTTAAAAGCTAAGCCCTATATTTTAAACTTGTTGAGTACAATGAGTTATATGTAACAGTTGCTCAAATAAATATTTGTGATCAAATAAGCAAGTGAAACAAGCACTCATTTCTGAATAATCTATAAAATATGTAAATACACAAATATAAAAATATTGTTAATGTACTTGCGTAAAAAATATACACACACCACATGCACAATTCTTAAACTGTAAACAATTAAATTATTAACAACAAATTGGAGAAAAAGAAGAATGAAAGTATCTGTGTCATACATTTCCAAGTATGTAATTCCTCAAAAGACATGATAGGGAGTTTCTTTAAAAACCATACTACTTTTTGCTGAAGTGATCACTTACCAGAAAATTGAGACACTATTGGGGGTGTGTCTTCATCTAAGTCATCTACCCCCCCAGCAATTGGGTAGGGTGGAATGGAGACTCTGGGCATCACTACCCAGCTGTGATCTGAATAAAGGGAAGACGTCAGGCTGGGGAGTCCCGAGTTATGGGCTATCTGAAAGCCACAGATCTTCTCAATCTGTTGCCAGCGAAAAAGACGTTCTCGTAAACAAGTTGTCAACTCTGAGAGAGCTTTCCTAAAAAATCAGTATAGGAATTACTTGTTGGATCAAAGAGGCTTTGAAAAACAGCAATCAATTGCATCAATAGCTAATGACCAAATTTTAAAATTAGCTTAAATTATGTAATTTTGTATGATTAATATGTGATTTAAATATACATTTTCTGAAAAGAATGTATTTTAAAACAATAGTAAATATCCAGAAGGATAACATTCTTACTTTGCTTCCAGAATTTTGTGGTCTACTTCATCTAGGGAGGAGCTATGTGCCACATGCAGAGTCCCAAAGACTGTGCTTCTCTTCTTTTTAATTTTTTCTGCCTAGAAAACCAAAGAAGCAAAAATAATAAAGCTATGTTTAACAAAACAAAACATATATTTGTTAATGAAGTTGATTTTGGTTCTGAGTATATTAATAATCATAAACCAAGATTATTAGCCAAGATATAGCCTTGTTTTCCAAAAAGAAAATATAAGAAAAAGCATGCTTTCCTAAGCTAACCAATGTAATCAAAACTTGGTTCTGCAGAAGTTTTTTCATTTTTATGGTTCAGAGAAGACCTGAATCTTCTATTAACACTAATAGAAAACTATTGACTACATCATACTACTTGAGATGTTAGTGAGTGAACTGAGCATTTTTTGTCGAGAATTCAGATTAAGACTTACTCTTATTTCACACAGTAAGTGCAAACATTAATTTCTAGTAACTACTAACCTGAATCAGATAGGAAGCAGCAACCTAGAGGAGAAAAGCTCTGTATAAAACATTTATGAAAATGATGATAATGATAACTTTGAAAGTACACCAAGGTTACCTTGAAAGCTATATATACACTTGTCTACATAGAGTGATTTTACTTTAATGCCTGTAATTCCAAGAGTCAATTTACACAATAAACTCTAACTCAAGAAAACAATAAACTTTTATTCAGTTCTTTTTTTATCTAAGTTGATTAGTATCACTAGGATAGAGCCTAAGAAACAAATTTAGTAAACTTTGAAACAAACAAACAAAAAAAGAGTACCTCATCCTTAGCAATAGCTAACTGCATTTCAGCATTCTGTCTTTTGATGTTGTAGTACTGAACTTCTACTTCATGTGTTAATTGAAGCCATTTTTGAAGAGCATCTGGGACAGACCAGCTGCTTCGCAGTTCAAATTCTTTTTCAGCCTTTTTTAGAGCCATGCGAACCTAGAAGAGAAAACATGAAAGAGAAAGAACAGATTAAAGTATTTTATAGTAAACAGTACTAAAACAAAAACAATTTTATTTACATTCTTTACAAATAACTTTTTAAATCCTTGTCTAAATATACTCTATCTCTCACAAGCTAAAGCTGAAATCTTAAGTGCATCTTACATTCACTAAACAAAACTGTGAAGCCAGAGAAGGCATATACATGTGTACATATATACACATATGTATATGTATGTATGTGTAAATGTATGTACATGTATACACATATGTATATATATGTGTGTGTATGTTATATGTGTGTATGTATGTGTGTACATATATATCTTTAGCTACAACATTTTGTTTTTATATTTCATAGTTTCAAGTTCACCAGAACAAAAATTCATGACATATATGCAAATTAAAACTGATCATATTTTCCCATAAGAAATATTTTTGTGTATAAACTAGGGTATGAAGATATATGCAAAATCAAATGGATACATGTTATATTATATCTTCTAATGTTCCCAGAAAACTCTAGTTACTTAACTATACACTCATTTTAAAGTAATTATTATTTATACTTTTTTCTTTAGTTTTTCTAAAATATTTTATTTTTTTATCAGTCTTGGGGCTTGAACTCAGAACCTAGGTGCTGTCCCTTAGCTTTTTCACTCAAGGCTGGTACTCTACCACTTGAGCCACAGCTTTATTTCCAGCTCTTTTGTTAGTTAACTGTACATAAGAGTCTTACAGACTTTCTTGCTCCAGCTGGTTTTGAACCACAATCCCCTGATCCCAGTCTCCTGTGTAGCTATGATTACACGCATGAGCCATCAACACTCAACTGTAAAGGAGTTACTTCTCTTTAATACTTGCCTATTTTAGTCTACTTTATCTCTTCTACTTAATTTACTATTTCTAACATACTGGCAAGTAGAGAGCAAGCATCTATAGATCACGTGCAAATTTCAAAGGAATGGATTCTGATTGAGAATCTTGCTTGGTTTTCTTCCTTGAGAAACTATACTATACATATCCTTCAGCATAAAGATGTATCTTGCCCACCCAGCTTTTAGGGGAGGGAAGGAGGAAGGGAAGCAGGGAGGTTCCATTTTTGGAATAATTAAGTTAAAAACCATCAAAAATGCAATCTAAAGATGTATGATGACACATGGTAGAATTTGGACAATATAGAATTTTTATGCTTAATTCAAGAACTTCAAAGCTATGAGTGAACTACAGAGGTTCCTCTTACTAATGCACAGTAACTGCAGTTAACTGCTTTTGAAGCTAAGGCTAACTAAGGTAACACTATTCCTAAACTAAAGTGCAAAGGAATGTTTGACCTGAACAAACCCAGCTTATTTAAATAAACTGCATCATGTGCCAGAATAAACTAAGAAGAGGACTATACACAAACTTCTGATAAAGAAACAGAACAGCTGTCAGATACTGTGGAGAAAGAATTATGCAGAAAAACATTTCATTTTTTAGATTTTCTTGTATACTATCTTTTTAAACTCCAAAGGTTTTTAAAATAATCACAATACTAAACCATTCAAAATGAGAAAATAGAAACAATCTCCTGTATATAAATATACATAATATATATAATAAATAATTTTTTAAGAGAAACATTAAAATAAGACTTCCTTGAAAGAAGCAAATTCTAGGCAATGCCTGCCTGGCTTAAGTCATTGTGCATCTGCCTGGCACAAGTCCCTCTGCAATGTGTGGGGGGGGCCAAACGGTTTAACAAGACAGTTGGGTAAGCTGTGTGGCCATCCTTACTAATCTCTCAGGAAGAGAGAATTCTGCCACCTTTATTCTGTGAAATGCAGTTCCACATAACACTACAAAGTGTACACTGGCAAGTTCTTTTTCTCTTAAAACTCTAAAACTAAACCTTTTACACAATTTTCATTTCTAAGGTAGTATACAGAGAATCTCTATAATATGATTATAAAGAATAACTTCAATGAAAACCTTATAAGAAAAATGAATTCAGTAAATAGTTTCTATGTTAAATGTGTTCTTAGTGACTTTAGATTGTTCTTAATAACATTTCCATAAATTTATTCCCCCTAAAAACTCAACACATGCACATTTAACATAAATCTATTATGTGACCCAAGTTCCAATCCTTACTTTGAAATTACATTGTTATTTGTGAGACTGGACAAAGTGAAATGGAGTAGTTAATAACTTTGTCAAATGATGATTTACTACTTAAAAATATAATTATAAGCCGGGCGCCAGTGGCTCACGCCTGCAATCCTAGCTACTCAGGACTGAGGATCATGGTTCAAAGCCAGCCCGAGCAGGAAAGTCCCTGAGACTCTTATCTCCAATAAACTACTAGAAAACTGGAAGTGGCACTGTGGCTCAAGTGGTAGAGCACTCGCCTTGAGCTGAAGAGCTGAGGGATACTGCCCAAGTTCAAGCCCCAGGACTGAGGGGGGGAATATATATATATATATAATTATAATAATTTAGTATGTTAAAAATAAACAGCAATAAGTAACATTGTGTACCAGAAAGAAATATCTGAAAACCTGGCTTCTCCAACTTTATTATTTATTATCTCTGAAACCTTCAGTAAGTATCTTTCTTCTTGAGCTTTATCATCTTATGTAGAATGTAGACTATCAGTTCTTGTCCTGACTAAAGTCTTTGAGAGTTTTTAAAGAACAAATTAAGTGGTATAAAAACTACTTAAATCAGCTGGGCACTGGTGGCTCACACCTGTAATCCTAGCTATTCAGGAGGCTGAGATCTGAGGATTGCAATTCAAAGCCAGCCCAGGCAGAAAAGTCTGTGAGACTTTTATCTCCAATTAACCACTAGAAAACCGGAAGTGGCACTGTAGCTCAAGTGGTAGAGCCCTAGCCTTGTGCTCAAGAGCTGAAGGACAGCGCCCTGGCCCAGAGTTCAAGACCAATGACCAACAAAAACAAAATGAAACAAAACAAAAAACCTACTTAATTCACAAAAAATAAAAAGTGTCACTATTAGTCATCAATTACCTTGGTTTTAGGGAAAATAATATTACACAAAAAAATATATGTACCAGATTATCCTCTAGAACTTCAAGAAAATCAGTCTATGTCTATTTACATCAAGATTATTATAATTTTTATAGCAGGAGTAGAAAATGAACATATATATATGTATATATATATGGGCTTATAATTAAACTCTCTCAGAACCTTAGCTGTCTTAAAAGACTGTTGAATGCCTGAATTTTTACTATATTCTATTTCTAGTAACAGAAAACAGATCATAGATAGGACATTTTTCAGACAGCTTTGAAGCTTAGCAGATTATGCTCTAAAACCACTTAAAAGAATCAAATAAATGGCTACCTAAGAAGAGATCTTTCACCTTTAGAAAAGTTCAACATTAGATGTACTTTACTAGGTGACATAAATTCAACATGTTACAGATGTCAAGTAAACATTTCAAATATACCAAAGAAAATTAATAACATGAAATTGGATTACTCGAAATAATGAACATGATGATTACTTTATCATCTAGTTGCCACTCTGTTATTTTAATATATGGACTTTGATCAATGTTAACAATATGAACTAATGATCCGGTTATTCAGTTATACTGAGGAACAGTATACAATGGAACTGTAGATTGTGACCTAGCTCCTCAGAGTAGCAATTAAAATCCTAACAAACGCTTTTTACAAAGTGTAAGTACCTGCTCCAATTCCTGCTCTGCATACTGCCGTCTGCTCAGTTCACACTCAGCTCCCTCCCTGAGCTCTCTCAGCCGACAAGCCTCTTCCTTGGCGTAATTGATTTCATCCATCATTTTGCGCTCTAGATTTTGCTTTTCTACAGCAACATTTCTGTTTTCTTCCTGTGCTTTTTCAAGCCTTAGGAAACAACAAAAATTTAAATTTCTTATAAAAATTTTCAGAACTCCACTTTTGATGAAAGAAAAAGTATTGTCATGCAATTTAATACAGATTTTAATTACATTTCACGGTATTTTCTATTCATCTTAAACTTGGATTAAAAAAAATCAGGCAACCTACTATAGTTATTTGGTTACTTTGGGCTCCAGACAGGGACAAGAGGAAAATACTCTCTGCAAAGAGACTTTTTAGAAATTCATCATTATTTAAATCAAACTAAAAATATAATCCTACTTATATTTTGATTTACTTCTTATTTCTAATAATACAAAATGAGAATATTTTATTTGTATATTAACCTATATGTATTTATATACATGCTTACATTATGTTTTTTACAAACTGCTTTCCCTATATAAATAAGAGTTTATAATTTACCTCTCTTGTAAGTCCATAAGACTTTGTTCTGCAGTTTGCAGACTCTCTAAGTCTTTCATCATTTTTGCAACATGTTCTTTTGATGTTTTATTCTGTGTATAAGCAAACCAGCATCCTCCAACACCAATTAGAATAGAAACTGTAAGAATAAAATCCTTCATCCAATTATGAGGTGGGCCTATAAAGAAAATTACATATAATTACTATATTAGTATAACACGGTTTAAATATATAGGCATTTAAAAAACAAGCAGATATCTAAAAGCATTTAAAAAAATCTTTCCCATATACAAATTCTACTCTTGTAAGATTTCTATTTGCAGATACTCCTATGCTTATTAGCTTACCTGTTATACTGAATTTCAGAAGGGCAAAGATAATGTACAAAGACACACCATGGCTCTACTTCAACTATGAGCCCTATTCTCTGACTCTGGTTGAAATAACAACCACTTTGGAATAACAACAAATAGATGGACATGTCCCAAACTCCATAGTAAGTACCACAAAGTAGAAAAGATAGAAGAAAAGGCTCCTTTTAAATGTATCTCTGCTAACTTGACAACATGTTTTTATGAATCTAGCATAGGTATCTGATCATGGTTCTCATTCATTCAAATATTCCTAAACACATAAAAAGTAGTGCCTCATTAACTTCTCAACTGGCTTATTAAAATATTTGTCTACAACATCCTTTGAGACCAGTTTGATTCTTTTCAAATGACTTAAAAACATCATATTCTTTGAGTTAGAAAGCTGCTTGTTCTCAGATTAATAAAGGGGATATAAATATTCACGACCAAAGTACATATCGATACAAATTCTATTTCACTAAGCATTCACTTGAAAAAAAAAGAGAATGTCATCAAAGACAATCCCTCGGTAGACTCAGTGAGGAACTCAGGACAAAGAAAAAGGAAGTAAAATGATCCTATCTGTGGACCACTTGGCATTTAGCAGTGTTCCATTTCCTAGAGTTTGTAATTTCTACCAATTATCACAAGGGAGAGTTCCAGATGTTTCACCAGCTGCTCTCAGCCCAAGGCAAAAAACAACCACTAGTCAAAAGTCGTGGAAGCTCATCCACCAAAAGTTTTCACAAAAACCCCAAAATCTCCTAACTCCAGAATTCAAGTAGAATAAATATTGTCTTCCTACTCTGTCAAATGTGAAAGTCACTTGTACTATTTTTTATTCCTTTTTAGCTTCTAAAACAAAAACCTTAATTCCTATAAAGTGTATATTCTTCAAACATTTTCCTCCAAAAATTTCTGAAATGTGAAATTAAACCTCCTTCTGGAGAAAAATATTCCTGCCAAAGTAAAGAAATACAAGATTTATTTTCTTTACAAATATGACATCACACTTTCTTAAATGTTCCTCTTCAAAGTAATCAAACAGCTATATTCACCTTGTGCTCCTACCAGAATGCTCTTCATGACACTTCCTCTAGGTCTTTGTTTTTGATATCTAAAAAAAAAAATCCCTTTCTTGATGACTTCCTGTCATCAGGACAGTTAAATTGCTACATTTCTTACCTTCTTCAGTAAAAATCCAAGCATAATAACAATAATAGTAAAAGTATTGCAAAGATCAAGGTTTTAAATTTAGAAATTCTAAATTATCATACCTTAACAACTTTTTAGATTAGCAACTAGTTTTAGAAACCACATTGAATGTTTCAGGGGAAGAAAATTTCATCTTATAAATCTATATTTCGAGACAGTATCACCATTCAAAAAGAAGTAGTCATTACCTTAGATATGTAAATGTAACCCCGCTGTACAACACTTTTACAATATAATTTAAAATTTAAAAAGATAGTATTACATTTCTTCCACAGTTAACAGACGATTACTAACAGTCAACTATCTCTCTTACTTTCTCCTTACACAGAGACAGTTTCTGCATCATAATCTTAGTAAGAGATACTAACGTGTCAGAGGTCCAAACAAAACCACATCCAGAGCCTTGAGCTGAAGTTTCTGTCTATGACTCCGGTCGTTGATTTTCAACTGAGAAATCATAAATGAAAGCTCATGCACTGCTATCCTGTTCATTTAAAACACACATACATGTTAAGTTAAAGTATTTCTAGTACATAAATTTAAATATTTAAACACCACATTAAATACATATTAACGATCACTGTTAAAAACTTCCTATTCAAAGATTCCTATATATTAATATTTTAGTTGTTATACTGATGGGTTACTTTTTTTGTTTGTTTGTTTGTTTGTTTGTTTTTTGATTGGTTGTGGGCCTGAACTCTGTTCTACTTGAGCCACAGTGCCACTTCCGGGTTTTTCTGCTTATGTGGTGCTGAGGAATCGAACCCAGGGCTTCATGCATGCAAGGCAAGCACTCTACCACTGAGCCACCTTCCCAGCCCCTTGATGGGTTACTTTTAAAGGTTACTTTCTACTATGATTTAGAAATTTATAAAGTTGTATTTTATAATCATTAATTGATATTTTACTGTCATTTCATTCAAAAAACAAAACCAGGTGTAACTTATATTAACTTTAAATTTTTCTCAATTTAGGTCATGCCACATTTGTTTAAAAGTATCTAAAACGTATCATTACATTCTAATATTCAGCCTGTTTGAAAAGGGAAAAGATATAAGTGGAAAGTATAAACCCTTTTGGGGTTGGAGTGGGTAAGTAGAAAGATTTATGTAGTAAGTAATAAGAAACATTCTATTAGCAAAAAACAAAGTGCATAGGGAGACAAAGGTGGCTAAGGTAGTAAGATCACTTTGGGACTACAAATCAAAGCAACCTACTGTTCAACTAAGAGTTCTTAACCAAGTATGATGCTAGTAGCGAGTTTATAATAAAAACCTAATAATACTAAAAGAATTAACAATGACAAGGGCTTAATTAATAATCAAGAAAACCTTATAATGTATGTAACATCTCTAGTTTATCAATGAAGATATTTGTCTGAGGTCAAAGTAACTTGCCTCCAGAACTTGTCAGAGATAAAAATTCAAGTCCACATACGCATTATCCCAAATACTACAGTGAACCATTATATTTTTTTAACAAGATATGGGGCCAAGGGCTGGTGGTTTAAGCATGTAATCCTACTCAGAAGGTTCAGATCTGAAGATTGTGGCTTGAAGCCAGCCCAGGCAGGAAAATCCATGAGACTCCAATTAACTACCAAAAATAAGCTGGAAACGGAACTATGGCTCAAGCAGTAGAGTGCTAGCCTTGAGCAAAACAGCTCAGGGACAATACCTAGGTCCTGAGTTTAAGCCCCAGACAGCACAAGAAAAGAAGAAAAGGAAAGAGAGAAAAAGAAAAGAAAATGAAAGAAAAGAGAGTGAAAGAAAAAAGAAAAGGAAAAAGAAACAAAGAAAGAGGGAGGGAGGCAAGGAGGAAGAGGGGAGGTAAAGATATGTGTACTTCTCAGTGTGAAAGATTACAGGAACTCTGATGGGTCTTCTAAAAAACTTGCGAATGCAATAACTCTATTTTCCATTTTTTTAAATGCCCTTTAGATCGTCACTGCCATACAAAAGTACTTTTACTATTTTTCCTTCCATTCCATTCAAAAAAGCTCTAGTGGGATGACCTGAAAATGTCTACATTCATCACTTTTTTCCATAGATGCATTCATTATTTTAAAAATTTGATCTTGATAAGTATGTGATTGTTGTCTCTATAATTTTAAAACAGAATTTCAGGTATCTCTAATAACCGTTACATAGCCAAAAAAAAAAGTAGTTATAACTTTAAACAAAACATGAATCTACCTAGTTTCCCAAAAGACAATATTAAAAACCATGAATTCTTCATATCCAGAGTAATATATATATATTTAAAAAGCCTAATCTCATTTTAATGCTCTAACCTGACTTAACCTAGAAACTTGTTTCATTTAAAATAATAATCTGTTTTATTTAAATTGTGTCTAGCACTTATTTGCAGCATCCACATAAAAGATACTTAGTATTTGATGAATTAACTTTAATCCTCATAATTTCACATCATTCTACTCATGTATAAACAAATTAAAAATACAGATTTTTTTACTGAGAATATATCTTAACAAATATAACAACTTCCAACCTAATGTGAAAAATACAAATCTCAAAGTAATAAATGCTGTTTATTTCAACCAGACATGTAAGCAAAGTTACAAAGTATATAATGCAATTATTTCATCACATATAGTAAATATAGTGAAATAAGAGATAAGAATCTCTTCTGATGAAGGAATCAATTTGGTAAAAAAATGGAACATAGGTTCTGGTAGAGACATTGGAAATTTTCCATTTAAATCTTTGAAGATTATTATACAAATTAATTAAGTTTTTGAATATATAATTTAAGAAACTAGCAACTGGCTCCAAATACTTAAGGAATCATTAAACAACCTGGGCTTTGATTGTTGATCTGTTTGTGTTTAAATGCTACTTTAGGCAAAATAAATATTTAACTTGTATCTAACCTTTCTTTTTGGCCTATAATGGTTGATGACAATATATACCTCATTTTAATCATGTAGATTAGATGAGATAAGGTCCTTCTATGTAATATATATTTTAAAATAACTGTTAACTATTTTTTTAGAAAATTTAATTTTTAACTGAAATATAAATTTGTAGCCACTATCAGTAGTTATCATTGAAGGAACACCTATTATGAAAGATACGTATATTAATCCATTCAAATAAGAATCTTTATTAAAATGATCAATATCAAATAAATTTTCCTTATTCTAAGTAGTCAAAGGTTGACCCTTTGATGCTTATCTATAAATAATATACATAAATAATATATCTATAAATAATATACTTGACCCTCTCTAAAATTATTCTCCTTGAGAACAAGAGATTTTTTTTCTGTTGTTTTATTTTGTTTGTTTGGGGGGGAAGGACTGAAGCTTAAACTCTAGGTCTGAGCACTATCCCTGAGCAAAGAGCTCAAGGCTAGTGTTCTATCACTTTGAGCACAGAGCCACTTCTGGTTTTCTGGTGGATAACTGGAGATAAGAGGCTCGTGGACTTTCATGCACAGCTGGCTTTTGAATTGTGATTCTTAGGTCACAGCCTTCAGAGTAGCCAGGATTAAAAGTGTGAGCCACCAGCTGCCAGTGAGAAGAAAGTTTTAAAGCAGTTGGTTACTTAGAAAAGAAAAACATGAGAGGCTTAGCATATAGTTCAGTGGTAGAGCACTTGACTAACATATGCAAGGCCCTGGGTTAGATGCTCAGCACTACAAATAAAGTAAAATAAAATTTTATAAAACTTGGTCATACACATCTTAAAAAGATTTAAGAATGGATATATTTATAATATTTTCTTTGTACTGTTAGCCACAGAAGTAACAAAGACTCACCTGGGAAGTGTTGTTCCTTTGACATTATTGTCTCTAAAATTCTTTTCATATTGTGGAAGTTCAACAAATTCTATCAACCACTGAAGGGTATCTTCAAGGGTCCAATTATGAACTACAAGATATTAAGAGAAATATGTATATTGTAAATACAATGTTTTCAAAATCTGTGCATTTGCTATAAAGATGTTGAATTCAGTTTTTATTCAATTTAATCAACAGAAAGTATTAAAAAGAATATTTAGCACTCTATGCAGAGAAGCAAACAAAAAATTAAAGAAAAACCTTTTATCCGTAAAGGCTTACAAGCTAAAACAAATATATATATATATATATATATATATATATATATGACAAATATTAGCATGACTAGTTCTAAAATAAGCACCTATATACAAAGTTTGTACAGAATAAAATAACCCATCACTTCCCTGGTTGCAGAAATTTAACAGTTATAACTTGTAAATTCCTTCACCTAACCATCCACCCATATAACACTGTGATAAACCTTCTGAATGTCAGGTTGTAGTGTAACCACTGAGGCCACTGGCACCAAACAAGATGGATATTTGTCCAAGTAGAACTGAAGTTTCTCTGGCAAAGGTGCAGTTGGGACAATTTAGAAAAGAAGCAAGTGGATGGGGGAAAATTTTAGATAACGATTAGCCATAAAGAAAGAAAGAAAAGATGTCAAGGTAAGCATCACTGAAGAGTTAACATCTGAACTAGACCTAAAAATTGCTGGGCACCACAATCCAAAGGTCTAAGAAAAACATCCTAATTGGAGAAGAAAGCTAGCATGAAAGACTTCAGATATGAATAGACTAAATGTGTTTAACAGGCAAGTTGGAAAATCAAAGAGGGGCTAAGTTATTAAAGTCTTTTTAATTTCAATAAAAAGGAAAATTGAATAGTCTGTAAAATACATCTCTTATATACAAAGAAATGCTTATATGGAAACCGTGACAAAATAAAGCCAATGAGACCAAGAGAGTAAGTAGTAGAACTCGATTAGAAGACAGGCAAACTGGCCACAAAACGAAACACTATACTTCTCTGAAAGCAATAATACTAAATAATAGTAACAAGATAAACAAGTAGTTAAAACACTGGGAGCAATTCAGATGCCTTTGCTTGCCTATAGAGTAGAAAGGACAATCATGAGTTAATCTAATGGGAATTCGCCAAGTGTGTTCAAAAAGTGAAGAGTTGTATTTTTAACTCTCCATTTAATTTGAGGATTTGGGAAATCAAAAGTGCCTACAGACCAAACAAGAAGATAAATGATAATAACATAATGAAGAAAGTAAGTAAGAAAGAAAAGAAGAACTGGAAATCTATCTGTATAAACTAATCTAAGAAAATAACTTGTTTTTTAACTACAGAGAATGAATTCACATTTGCAAACCAAGCTAGGTTTCCCCTCTGCCTTTTTCATTATGTGTTCTTTAGAAAGAAAAAGTAATAACAAATAGTTAATTTTAAAAACTCATTAAAACTGTATGATAATTTAAAATTAAGTGATTATATTGGGCCAAAACTTTGATTATTTGTCTTACTGTTCCCTCCCTTCAGGTGTCCCTGTCATAGAGCTTGGATATGAGCCTAATGCTGCAGTATTTAACCAAATAAATGAGGCTAGCAGCCAAAAGTTCAGGCCTGGGTGCTTTCCACTGAATCTAATACATTCAAAGTAGCCTTTGTATGCTTACGTTTCTTCCTATCCAAGATGCACTGCTTTGAGAATTGCCTTATCTTGACTGCCAAGAAACCCATAGCACAGCTGCACCACACACACCCACACGAAACGCTCAGCCAAAAAAACAGGATATGGTTCTCTCCGTGTCTGATTGTTCAACAGTAACAGGCCATGATCTAAACACTACAGCACATCAAAATATTTTTCATTTGCAATGAGAGTACAGAAAGGAAGAAAAATCAAGTGTGAAGGAATGCATATTTAAAATGTACAAGTCCTAGTATTATTCTACCTAAAAAACAAAACATTGTGGTGTTCTAAAGATGTTTCATTTAAAATTAATATTTAAAGCAAGATTCTAACACAGAACTTGGAGGAAGCTTGAGTCTTCTTTTTCTATCTGATGTCTCTGGTAGCGTCTGTTGAACACCTTCTCTTCTGATGACCAGGACTTGCATGTTGTATTAGCTTCATCTGGTCCACATATTCTAGCTGTCTTTCAACTCTTAGAACAGATTATACTCTCACTCCTTCCTTCCCTACATTGTAAAGAACATTTTTTGTTAAAATACCATGTCCTGCTGGGCGCTGGTGGCTCACACCTGTAATCCTAGCTACTCAGAAGGCTGAGATCTGAGGATCATGGTTCAACGCCAGCCCGGGCAGGAGAGACCGTGAGACTCCTATCTCCAATAGACCACCAGAAAACCGGAAGTGGCGCTGTAGCTCAAGTGGTAGAGCACTCACCTTGAGCTGAAGAGCTGAGGGACAGCGCCCAGGCCCAGAGTTCAGGCCCCATGACCGACCAAAAAAAAAAAAAAAAAATACCACGTCCTTCTGTGCCTGCTTTCTGGTGGGTATGCTGCAAACTAACCACACATGTAAAAAGACTCATACACAATGCTTCCTCAGAGGAAATCATTTTCTTCTATCCCTCCCTCATCTCTTCCTACTTTATGTTATTGAACTCCATACCTCAGCTAAAATTGCAATCAGAAGGAAGCTTTCTTAACATAGTTAATATGACCATAAATCATTCTGTACTTTTACACACAGAATTTAACTATAATTATTACTAGGATTATTCTTTCAATATCTCTTTATTCCAGAAAAAGAAGTAGAAGTTTCTTGTTCACCATTCTAGCCATAGTAGACAGTACTCAGAAGATACATCAACAAATTGTTAGGTACTATTGCATAAAAGAGGCAGGACCTGTTTAACTGACAAGTACTATGAAAATCCATTTTTGCATTTTAGTGAAGAGATTAAAAGAAAACATAAGCAAGCATTATGTACATAAGAAATTCTTGATGGCAAAGGAGTTATTCATTTAGAAATTATCTGGTTTTCCACTGCCATATCTGATTAGTTTTTTACATGTGTTGACAATCTGTAGCATACCCAGCAGAGGGCAGGCACAGAGGGAAAAGCTTTTTTAAACATGTACTTTACAATTTAAAGAGCTATTGTTTTTATTTGAAATTGTGGCCAGTGTTTGAAGTTCATGTCTCAGAATGATTTGGGCAATTTATTACAAAGCTAGTAAAAAAAAAAAAAGTGGAAAGAGACCTGTTTCAGTCCCAGCTGAGCCACTTTCACCATAATAACATCAGAACCAGGCTATTTAATTGTGGCTCCTTTTCCTACCCAATAATAATAATAATAATGAAAATGAACTAGACCACCTTTAAAATTAATTCAAATTCTGTTTTTTAATAATTCCATTATAATAAGAGAGTTGGTATTTGAAGCAGTGTAAATTAACTGGTTAACTTACACCAGTGGAATATACTTAGGGAAATACTTACAGGTACTCTAAGAACTCTGAGGATAGCAATAATAACTTCCCAATATTTACTAACTACAAGATTTCTTAATAGTCAATAGTCAGCTCAACAACTTTCAACATGGCACTTTTACTTTTATGTTGATCTAAAAGTTGATGAAGGTAAAATTCTTAACTAGGCAAACAGATCTGTCAATGGCCAAATCGGTTTCAGATCAAACCTGTTTCTTCTATCATTGACCACTACACAGTGACACTGCTTTAGGCCCTCACAAACAGACCAGGAAGTTTTAATCATTTTAGGTCCACTTGTACCCGCAGCCATAAAAATGACTGTATTTCTCTCTGCCCCATGCCAGTTTCAAACCGAGAGTGGTTTTTCATTCTTCCTTCCTCGCCAGGCTCTTTTCCTCCTTACTCTTTACAACTTGCATAAGGAACTCCTTCCTGTACGAAGTTTTCCACCAACACTTTTCCACATTAAAGTTTCCTGTATTCTTCTTGTGCCTTCTGATTGGCTTAACATATACCTGCCATAAGATCTACAACATATAATGTAATTGTCCTTAACCAATTTACCTTCTGATTGATAAGTTCCTAGAGGTCTCGCTCAGAAGTGAGAAGCAGTACTTTTTCGCTTAACATTTACCATTTACACTAAAAAGCCACACACCTTTAGAACAGAGCTATGGTGGTTAATAACAATTATCAATTTAATTAAACTGAGAATTCTCCTTTTCATCCTCCCTAGCCCTTTCAATTTCTGTAAAAAGAAATGAAGTTCCTTATTCTGAACCAAACAATGGCACTTTCTTCCACAATTCTACTGTCAGCCCCTGCCACTTTGTTGGACTGAAGAAAACTGGCCTAAGAAGTAAAAGCTTTTTGACAACAAAGGGGTGTTACTAATGAAAATGAAGAGACAGAAATAGATAGATATAGCCATTAGTTGAGAGGCAAGGAAACTGGTGATCCTGTGACTACCCGGATAAAGCAGCCTTTTAAAAAAAGATATGAGTCATGTAGGGACACATCAGTTGTACAACTAGGTTATAACTAGATGAAATGCTCTGGAAGAAAGTGATCCCTTCCCAGAATTTCTATAGCACTGTTTCTACCAAATGACATGTCATATGAGCTTCCTTATTTTCTATCTGCTTACATACATTCTTACTATAGTGAGCTTTCATAAGACAAGTATTACTTCACCCGGTATAGAGCTACCATTTAAGTATTAGCTGAACATATATTTTTTTCCTTCCTTAAAACAGAAACAGTTTTGTTTCTACTTGAGTGTCTATTAACTATCCCACAGTTGCATGAAAATACTATTTTCAGAGCTTCCTATTTTGAAGCAGCACTGATCAATCCTTGGATCCACAACAGCATCACAGAAACCTATACCACAATGAGGATGCCAATTTATAGTTGCATAATTGACAGGTATATTAAGAGGAGAATCGGTGTGTTCCTAGTCTATTCTCTCGCTTAGCAAACCTGATACACAAATCAGTGTAAAAAAATAAACTTTAAAAGAGTAAGTATATGTATTTACTTGCTTCTTTTATCTATAGAAGCAATTTTCAAAACCAATGCATTCAGTGCACTCAGGCTTAAAAATACAAAGCAGCTTAGAGAATGTTCTCCATACAAATTTTAATCTGTTATAGTTAGCAAATATTTGCTACCCTATAATCTTTAAACATATTTGTGAAATCTCCTAAATGGAAAAAACATATCCAATTATAATTCATGTCTATACATGTAGAAAAATATTTTATGAACACTTGACAATTCCAGTTAACTGTGATTAAAAACTTTCCAGAAATTGTTTCAGGAAATTCTCTCAAAAACACTAAAGGCAGGTATCAGAACTAATACTGTAATCCTTGGTTTATGGGTCAGGAAGCTGGGATTAGAGTTTAAGTAATACCCAGTGCATACTTACAAGTAGAAATGGGATTTATAACTACTTTGGACTTCAAAGACCCAATTCTTCCCCAGGAAGAGGGGAAGGAATATGACAAAAATCTCTATATGCTGACAAAAATCTCAAACAAATTCACCATCAGTTGTGGCAGAGTTTGAGTATGAGACACAAATATCATATTATTCCACATTTAATTTTTAAATAGCTTTCCTGCCAGTTAATTATTATAACCTAAATTTATTATATATAATACAAATACATATTTGTATTTTCTTAATGTTAAGGATGCAATAGCATGAGTTTTTTGTTAGTAAAATCAACCTCTAATGTCACAAGAGAGAACGTAGAGTCAATATAGTATAACTAAATTCACTATTTTCTATTAAAACATGAAAGCATCTTCATAAATACCACAAGACTGGATAAGACACTAGGAAGAAGAAATGAAGAATAAACATCACTATGTCTAAGGAAAGAAATTGTTTTGAAGCTTCAACAATATAATCTAAAAACTTAGCAGTTTGAGAAACATTAGAAATATTGGCATCTTTATATAAATTACTATACTTCAAAATTACACACACACACACACACACACACACACACACACTAGCATGCACCACAGTTTCAGAGTTTCAAGTTACAAAAGCCTTTACAATAACAAACATAACTTCTTGGGGAAAATTCAATTAATTTAGGGTACAATATTGGCAGGGTTTCAATAACAAAATTTTAATGAAACATAATACAAACATGAAAGAAGACAGTAAGTTTTTCAGTGTAAAAGGTGAAGAAGCTTCGGGCCTTCTCCACTGGTTTCATAGTCTCTGTGGTGCCACCTCTAATGACCAGCTGCTCAGCATAGTCAAGAAAGGGTTATCTTTAGAACAGTGCCAGAATGTGAACTCCTCCTTTGCATATCGGTCAGCAGGGCATGTCTCTGCAACATGGACTACATTCCTGCAACAAGCTATATTTGGATACATAAAGCCACATCATGAACTTTGGAAGTTCAGATGCTAGGAATCTATCTATATTAGCACTTCTTCTCATGAATTCTTCGTCTTGTGTCATTCAAGACAAATGTTGGCAAATCTCTGAATATTCTGAACTTAAAAATTACCAGGGTGCCTTGGTTACAATAGTAGTTCAAGGATCACTACTATAAACTGCAATTTTACTCTCATTTAAACTAAGTGTATTATCAGTACCTAGTCCCATGCAGAAAGAGAGGTAACAAAAACAGATCTTAAAAACAAAAACCAGAGAATTATGATTGTTCTGAGGATTAAATGATAAAATGTGAAAAATGACTCTTTAGAATGTGCTCTACAAATATAAATTACTAGCATAATAAAGTAAGTATAGTAACAGAATCACTATATAATTACAAAAATTCAAGGAACTGGTTTTCTTCATGTTTCATACCAAAACAGAAGACTTAGTAGTTTTTAAGGGAACTAAATGTTTACTAAACATCTCATTATGGGAGTCATGAAGAAAATTTTCACATTAGGAACACAGTGGCTAAATCTCTAGTTATTCATTCTTCCAAGTGCCTGTTGTCACAGCTATAATGGAAATCCTAAAATAAATGGATTATAGGCCTGGTAGGAAACAAGAACCTATCTCAAAAATGATGAGCAAAAAACAAAACTGGAGGCATGGCTCAGCAGTAAAGTGTCTGACTCCCAAGCAAGGGGCGGGTGAGTTGGGAAGGAGAGAGGGAGGAAGAGGAAGAGAGCTATGAGAAAATCCATTCATCATCTAAAAGTCTGAACTCCAAATGTCAATTACCTTTCAGTTTATCCTGAAAGAATAGCTATATTTTATATAAAACCCATGCTGGGGCTGGGAAGGTGGCTCAGTGGTAGAGCGCTTGCCTTGCATGCCTGAGGCCCTGGGTTCGATTCCTCAGCACCACATAAGCAAAAAGAAAAAAGCCGGAAGTGGTGCTGTGCCTCAAGTGGTAGAGCGCTAGCCTTGAGCTGAAGAGCTGAGGGACAGCGCCCAGGCCGAGAGTTCAAGCCCCATGACCGGATCCAAAAAAAAAAAACCCATGCTGCTTGACACTCACCCTCCCACCCATCCCTGGGTCAAAAATAACCTGTGCTCATACTCCAGATTCTCCTGCTCAATCTGCAGTAGCTGACTGGCTATTACATAGCTCTTGTCTGACTTCAGATATAAACTTCCTAATCACCTGGAGGAAGGAGACAGGGAAGAAGGGACCACAGGGCCCATCCTGAGCTCACAGTGATAGGTCTAGCTTTGACCCCATGACCTAAGCCAGTTACTTCTTCACCATTTTCTAACTACAGCAGTCAAGTTAGATTTCTCATTCCTTTTTGGCCATGATCCCGGAAAAGGTAAGCATTCAATGGTCAACAACCACATAGAGAAAGATAGGCTCAGAGTAGAGTAGATCTTTCAGTGTTTGTTTGCACTTTATAATAAAATAGGGATAACTTTTAGTTTTTAATTTATTTTTTACTGTAAAGATGATGTACAGAAGGCTACAATTACATGTCAGGTAATAGTACATTTTCTTTTGAATAGTGTCATCTTTTCCCTCATTTTCTCTAGGTTTTTTCGCTTTCCTCGTTTTCTCAGTTTTTTTCCCTCCCAATCCCACTCCCCTACAAGTTGTATAGTTCATTTTCAACATAGTGTCTAATGAGTATCACTGATGCATTTGTTCGCACTTTGTCCCATAAATTCTGGGCAGGGCGAAGTCGACAATATTTACTATCTTTAATTACTTCTTCACCTACCTACTCACTCTAATCAGAATTTCACTTCACTACTTCAATAAAAATGCTTTTATCAAGACCACCAACAGCTTCACTAAAATTCAGGGGTTCACGCTTATAATCCTAGCTACTTGGGAGATAAGAGATTCAGTAGGTAACTAACTATTCAAGGCCAATGTGAACAAAGTCTACAAGGCCCCAACTTAATCAACAGCTATGCAGGGTAGTAGCCACATCTGTCATCCAATCTACTCAAGAGGCTAAAAACAAGATCATTATTCCAGACTAGCCTGGGCAAACACACACACACACACACACACACACACACACACAAGATCCTAGCTCAAACCAGACACACACACACACACAAGATTCTAGCTCAAACCAGACACACACACACACACACACACACACACACACACACACACACACACGATCCTAGCTCAAACCAGAATATAAAAAGGGCTCATACACTCACACAAATATAGCAAACTGTAAGCCTGATTTCAAACCCTGGTAATGCATACTCACACACACATACACAAAAAACAAACACAGCAATAGAAAGAGACCACCAACAGGCTTATCTTCTACTTTGTTGACCCACTCATAAGATTTTGCTGTCATCTCACTTGATCTTCTTTCTACAACATCTGACACTACTGTGCAGTTTTTCTTAAAACATTTTCTTCATGAAGCTTTGTCTTCAAGATTCTCCTAGTACTGCATTGGTCAGATCCTCATGGTCCTCTTCCTGCATCCTTGTTTACTTCT